GCGATCGGTGGGGTCAGCTGGTGCATGTGCTCGAGGCAGTAAGCTATGCCCATCATGATTCTGAGCCGCATTGCCCAGTCCAGGTGTTCTGACTCTTTAACTAGCAAAACCAACAAAAAGTGGTTAAGAAGACCATCCAAAAAAGTGATGGTGTAATTGTTTCGGCTAAAGCTGGTGCTTACTGTGCAAGTGTTCAAAGAGTGATCCATTTGGAGCATATTCAAAAACCATCATTCTCGTGAAAGGCTCCTCTTCCACACAGTACCCCAGAAGGTTGACGAAATTCTTGTGATTGATTTTTGATAATGTCTCAATCTGAAACATATAACAGACAAAGATGAGTGAATAGACACTTAGAAGAATCGATGCATGATCGACTAGGATATGAAAGCTACCTTCTTTGCGAATTGCAGTTCCAGATTTCGTGACCAATCTTTGGAAGAGGTTAATGCAACAGAGGCCACCGCTATTTCAACCCCACTGGACAAAGTGCCTTTGTACAGCATACCGAGTGGTGAAGAACCAATAACATTACTAAAATCTTCGCAGGCAGATTCAAGCTCAGTTCTCTTCAGCTTTGGTATACCTGAAATAGCAACACGGTACACTTTAGTACAAAGGCAGTAAGGTAGCAAACCACCATCAACTAAGAAATTCACAGCAGCTACACTAGCAAGGATAGTGACATAAGCACAACAAGATTCCCTTCCACAACTCAAAATATATGTTTGGACAGTAATTCCATTAGGTGCTTAATGCAACAACTTTCCATGGCATTCCTTCTCTTTTTTCCTTTTACTTTTTTTCCCTTCAGCCCTTCTATATAGTTTTCAATGAATCAGTTAATGACATTCTTATTCACATCAGGTTTTCAATAAGAGGATTGAGTTACCAGTTATAAGTGCTTTCTGAAGCTGCCCACTGAGTCCAGTGGCCCAAGGTTTGACAGCTGCCCTATTGGTTTTGCACAGATATATTCCAAAGATAGCAAGGAGAAAACATGTGGCCCCAGCTACCGCTGCAACAATTGGTATAAAGGTATGACTCCTGGAAGGGGAACTATCAACTGTTGAATTGGGACTACTTGATAGTGGAGGAGTTGGTAAAGGAAGAGAAGCTTCAGTAGAATTTGGAGAAGCAGCTGGGGGCGGTGGAATTGAATCATTTGAATCGGTAGCAGGGGGAGAAGGAGGCAATGGAGGATCTGCATTTGGAGTCGGGAGAAATGGAGCTACAGAGGGCAGTGGAGGCAAAAATGCATAAGGGTCGAAGAAAGGGGTAGATGGAGTTAATGATACTGGTGGTAGATTCACTCCACCAACTGTTTGTAAAAGTCTCCTGTGAGCTGCATATTTCCTGCCACACATAACAAAAAGCAGAAACTAAAACGGGTGAGGCATCATCTCATGAAAGGAGTCCAGATTACAAAGAACAAAAGAATTTATTGAAGTTGATTCTGTTTACCACGTGATATACCATACTAAGTACCTTTTATTATGGGAAGATGCAGGTTTAGCTGAATCATGCAATTCAACTTCATGAACTTGAACTTCAGAGACCTTCGTCAGTTGATGAATTTCAGGTGAAATGATGCTAATAACACCATTATGATCCAATAACCTGAAAAGAAGAAAGAAAACAACAATGAAAAGAAGTTAAGAAAAAAAACAGATGGCCAATGAAACCTTAAAGCCAAAACAGAACTTTGCAGACACAAGCAACATACAGAAGCATTAAAGGCCGATTGCTTCCAAGGTTCAAAGGAAGCGAACCACTGAAGTTATTGAACCCAAGATCGAGCACCTCCAACTCCTTCAGCTCGCCAATATCTTCCGGAATTGAGCCAGAGAATGAGTTATTGCGCAAAACACTGCAGCAAAAACACAAATCAGTAATGCTAAGGGCTAAAAGGGATGCAGCAAAGACTCTTGAGCAGTTATGGAACACTTACATGGACTTTAGGCTGACAAGGTTTCCCAGCTCAGATCCCAGTGTTCCTTCCAAGCAACGATCTTTCAGGTTCCTGCCCGCAGACATACAACTCATCAAAACCATGTTACCATGAAAGAGGAAGAAGACCAATTAAGCACTAAGCAGAAACCTAAGAAAACATAATCCCAGAATCTGTTGCCTGTTCACATCTCTGGCGTTATGGGACTCATCCATCAACACATAATTTCATTTGATGTAGGATCAATAAACACATAAATTCATTAGTAACGCCATAGCAATCAACTGACCAAATAAGTTTAGCCCTAATTCCAAAAATTCTCTCCAAAGTGCAATGATTGCTATAAACAGAAAGATAAGGTGTGATAAATAATTATGATCCCATTATTAGGCGCCACACAATCAATCATGCATGGTTATCTCCTGAAAAAGAATGTTCAACATTTTCTCGGCCACCAAACAGCGTGTGAAAGAAAAGTGACGACTTCTCAGTTCTCAGACCTAATCCCAAGCAAAATAGGGAAAAGATCGAAAGACCAAATGAAAAGGGAAACGGGAGAACAACTGAAAATTTTAAGATGGAGCAGATGAAAAAGAGAAAAAGCAGACTCACAAGGCTACAACGTTTCCAGCCAAGCACTCAACGCCGAACCACGAGCAGTAATCAAGAACTCCACCACCGTCATCCTTCCAATCCTTCAGCGCGCCGAACGGATCGCTCACCACTCCTTCCTTGAACTTCAACAAAGCCAAACCTGCAACACGCGCCAAAAAAATGGAAAACAGTTAGAAGAAACAGAGGAGCTGCAGTGTCCTTCCCGCCGCCAGGAGAGAGAGAAATCGCCGCCGGTGGCATACCTTCGCCGTCGAGCAGCGAGAAGGATGCGGACGAGAAGCAGAAGAGAGCCAAGTGGCAGTAGAGAAAGAAGCTGAGAAACGGAGCTCCAAACCGGCGGAATTTCCAATTCTTATCCATCATCATTGTCATCACGAAGTCAGCAAGTTCATGAGAGTAGGCCGGAAGTTGAGCCGAGAGAGCGGGACGAGCTGAGTCGCCGGCCGAGTTAAGTGAACGGAGATTGGTGGGAACTCTGGAAGTGGCTGGGAATTAGGTTGGAGGAGGACGAAAGAGAGAGAGAGCGGAAAGAGTTTCAAAAACTGGGTTCGGAGGAGCCGCAGGCAACCCCAATCTACCAATGTAGACCAAAGGAAACTTTTTGGAAATGAAAAAGTAAGATTTCTAGAATAATAATAGTATTAATGTTTAAAAAAACGCGTCATCAATCCACTCAATTTATTGTAAAAAAAAATCCACTCAATCACTCACTCCGGCAAATAGAGAGGAAATTGTGAAATTTATTATCGGGAGCTGCTTTTGGTAAAGTTGTAAAATCACCACCAAAAAAAAAAAAAAAAAAAAGAGTGAAATACTATAATAGTGGTGCTCTATTACTAGCATGTATTTTCATTTTTCAATTACGTTGGAAATTCTTATAAAGATACCAAGTATTAGGTACATATTTCACTCTTAGGATTGGACATAAAACTGTGTCCTCTTGCTCAAATGTGTCATTTACCCTTAAGGGGTAAATATTAAATTGTGTCCTCTTGGTCACTGAGAATATTAAATAGTGTCATGTTTAGTCACTAAAAAAAATTAATATCAATTTTGGTCACTCGAATTACCGAAACTGGTCAAATTTAGTCACTCTCCCGTCAGTTTCCGTCCAACTCCATTAATGTAGTTGGACGGAAACTTTTGGGAGAGTGACTAAATGTGACATGTTTCAGTAATCCGAGTGACTAAATGTGACATTTTTCAATAATTCGAGTGACCGAAGTTGGACAGAGGCTACAGAAGAGTGACCAAATGTGACCTGTTTCAGTAATTCGAGTGACCAAAATTGATATTAAAATTTTTCTAGTGACTAAATATGACACGATTTAGTAATCTCAGTGACCAAATGTGTCATTTACCCTTAAGTTATTTGTTACAAAGTTATTGTTTCGTGAATTTGGGTGGAATAAGCTTTCCAATCAAAGTCTTAAATTCTAATAGATAATGACGATGTGATGATATCGTGTGTCCATATATGTGTGCTTGATTGTGTGAAACACCTGAAAAGTTGAAACATAACAATATTTTTTTTTCTTTGAATACCCTTTTTTTTTAAGATTGAATATCCTTTGAATTTCTCATTTATCAACTTAACTCTAATCAACTTTATACCCTCAAATTTTCCCATACCCATTTTTTTTTAATAGACCGTCATTTCCTCTGACAATGTGGGAGTTGATTTGTCCTTTTTTTAAAAAAAATGAATGTTGTATTCAGATGATGAACAGTTCCTTGTTTGATGATAAACAGTTTATTAGGTGTACCTTTATTTCATTTTTTTCTTATTTTGGGATAGAGTTATTTATCAGATCTAAGGTCACAAGTCGAGGTCATTACTCAATCTCACGGCGTTTGCGTGAAGTGGGAACTGGGAAAAGGGAGCAGTCAATTATGACAATAATAAATTAAGGCTAAATTACATGTTTGGTCACTCAAATTATACAAATCTTTCACGTTTGTCACCCGAATTACTTTTCTTTCTTATTCGCCACTAACTTTACGAATCGTTTCACGGATGGTCACCGGCCGTTACACTCCGTTAAGTTTGTCCTACGTGGCAGTCAACTATAAAGTTTGACCGTTAACTAGATGACGTGGAAATTAAAAAAAATAAAAAAAATTCTTTCCACCTCATCATTGCACTTATTTTGTTTATATAATTTATCATATTAAAAAAATAAGCTTTCCCTTCAAGGAAATAAGCTTAGCCTTCACGCTTCGGATGGAACAATGGACCCAATTGCAATCAACCCATGGGAACTGAAATCCCTCTCAGGCTCTCACTACTCCTCACCACCATGTCGCCGTCCAATTCTCCCTTCCATCTCACCCCAGAATCCATCTCCCGCCTTTCCACCGATTACCCACTCTTCTCCTTCACAATTTCCCTCTGCGTGCTAATCGTCCTCTACTTCCCTCGCGCCATCGGTTTTTGCCTCTCGCCGGTGATCGTCATCACAGCGCTCAGCCTGCTCTGTCTCATCCGGCTCGGAACCGTCCAGAGAGCAGAGAAATCGAAGAAATCGTCGAACCCAGGAGCGAGATCGTAGAGAAAACTGATTCTTTAAAACCAACTGCGAAAAGGGATTTCGGCGAGTGGGACGTCGGCGCGCCATTGGAGGTAATCTACGAGGAAGGCGGAGAAGGAGACGACGGTGGCCCTCCGCCCAATTCGAATTTGGGTGATGCAATTGATGGGAGAAACGGGGAGGAAGGGAATCAGGCGGGTTGGAGAGGTACCCTTCTTTGTCAATGTATTACCCCTGAAACCAACTCCGATTGCTTGTCGGACGGCGGCGGCGAGGGCTTTTCGACCACCGGAGGGTGGGATTTGGCGGCGAAAGGGGAAGGTTCCAGTGGGAAGAGGAGGACAGAGAAGAGTTGTTGATCGAGATAGCTTTGGATCGCGGTACGAAGGGAAAGGGAAAGGGGAAGGATTTGGAATTGGATTTGGGTTTTGACTCGGATTTGAGTTTTCACGGCGAGGAAGAGAATCTGATTGAGATTGATATATCGCCGGGGAGGCTTGACGATGTGTTTCACGGGGACGTGTGATTGAGATTTGACGGAAATTCTACTGTGCCGTCACTGTACCTGTGCCGGCAATTAATCTGACCGGTTTGGTAAGAACTAAGAAAAAATTGGTTCAAATGTGATCATATCAAAAATAAAGTAAAATAAACAAATTAAATTATCTATTTCCCTGAGTCCCCTGTCCCCACTCTTCCCCGTTCGTCGTTCTAAATGATCAATTAAAAACCACCATGGCCGTCGTAATTCCCGGCCGGCCATAACCACTATCGCCTATGCCGCTGCAATCCACCTTGCTCTTCTATGAATGAAAAAATCCAGATCCTGGCTCCTGTCGTCAGTCCAAATCACCATCGCCATCAGCGTCGTTGCAGTAAGACCATCCTCAGTTCGCCATCGTGTTGCTGCTGCTAGCCGGAGAATTTTGCCAGAGTTCAATTCTTCCCAACGGCTGTTTGGCGCCTGGAGATTGAGTGCACCGAGAGAGGCGAAGAAAACAATAGATTAATCAACCGAAATAATGGGTTTAACCGAGTGAAGCTCGACGACGTGTTTTCCTCCGTACAATGATGAGGTGGAAATAAATTTTTATTTTTTTTATAATTTCCACGTCATCTAGTTAACGGTCAAACTTTATAGTTGACTGTCACGTAGGTCAAACTTAACGGAGTGTAACGGCCGGTGACCAACCGTGAAACGATTCGTAAAGTTAGTGGCGAATAAGAAAGAAAAGTAATTCGGGTGGCAAACGTGAAAGATTTGTATAATTTGAGTGACCAAATGTGTAATTTAGCCAATAAATAAATAACTGTACGAAGAGAGATGAGGAGAAGTGCCGGCACAAGCAACAGAGACATAGGAAGCAAATTTCCCACTAAAATAATAATAATAAGGTGGAAAAGAAACAAGAAGGTAGAAAAACAGTAAAGACCAAGTCTGTACATACGTACAAATGGTTAATCTCAGCCGTTTAAAAACTAGGTTTCTTATCTTTATGGTGTAATCTTTGTGGGCAATATTAGTACCACTTGGCATATTGAATTTTGGCATTTTCTTGAAAGGATTACTCGTCTTGTTTTGATAATGATAATAATAATTCAAAACGTCGCTATTTGGTTGAGATTGATCAATGGGACATTTGGTAAGAAAGAAAATGTGTTGTTGTTGTTGGCTATTTGTGAGCTGCTGCTTTGAAGTTTCCAATCAAATAATTTCCAAATTGACAGTTTTTTTCCTCATCCATCCCACCCTCCCCTCCTTGTTTCAAGGGCTTACATATGTATCATCATGTGATGTGGCCCAACTCTATTCCTTAATTTGCACACATTTGTCTAGTGTGCCATCTACATTTTCCTGTTGTTTGGGGGGTTTTAGTATTAGTTTGGTTGTTGGCGGATATAAAGTGGTTGTATTATAAATATGTCATTTGGCAGCTCAAAAAAGTTACTTACTTTCAATCTCCCGAAGCATATCTCTAAATATAGGAATACAGTGAAATTTGTTTACAATTGGTTAGCAATTCTAAGGGATGCAGCGAGACTTTATAAATTAGCAAGGTTGCTAAATTAGAAAGTTTTCGGCAATGTCACTTATGATTTTTATTTTATTTTTTCAATTACTTTTTCTCTATTTAGTAATGCCAATATAATGTATTAATAATTGAATAAGTTGCACTTATGACAATTACTTATTGATTTAAGAGATGTAGGGGTTGAAAATTATTGAATGAGATACTTGCTTAATTATTGGTGTGGCAATAAAAACCCATTCTAGAAATTGCTTATGGGCATGGAGATGATCCAAGTCCCATCAACCAAGGTTCATTTTGAAATCGACATTCTCAACTCATTGGTTGCCCACATACCAGTCCATAGTCCACAATTCAACGGGTTTAAGGAAGGTCTGAAGCCCATTGTCGCTGACCCAAACGTCAACCCAGACGCAGTAAGGAAAGCCCAAGTAACCCACGATTTCTATAACAGCCCACTGGCTTTTCCTTTCCAGCAAAAGAGAAGCCCAAACCGGTTGCTTGTTAGGAAAGCTCCTGCTTCAACGCAGTGCATTATCATGATTCATGACCTCCCCACCTTCGGTGCCCTCCACGCTCGACGTTCACACGACACGGATCAGATAGCGCTTTATGAAAAGAAAGGGCAACTGTGGCAGCTCGGTGGGGAGGGCTCTTGCTTTTTCAGTCTTTCAGCAGGACACGTGATGGCCAACGTGTTTATCTGATTATTGTGCATCCAATGAGTACATTCTTGTATTCTTTTATATATATATATATGATTTGTGAGCACCATAATCCGATTTTATTTTTATATTCGTTTTCTAGTATTCGCTCAATGCTAACACAATGAAGACAAGTGAGGTTTGAAATCATATCGATAATACCGTTGTCAAGTTGTTATGAGTTGTGACGATTATAAAAGATAATCAACATCTAGAAACTACATAATAGGCACTCCAATGATCGTGAATCACGTTAGAACGTCTAACGCCCATGGGCATTAGAACTGTGGATGGATTCAAAGTTAGAAGCCGCGTGCAAGCGTACTTTACTTGTACAGATTTCTTTGGTTGGAAATTTCTTTTTGTTAGCATTATAACTAAGCCGACAATGAACGTTTTTATTATCCTCAATTCCTCATGCCCATATGCCCGTGTCGATTACGCCTAGACCCACTCGCTTGCGTGTACTGTACATCAAAACAATAGAGCCAAACACACCTCAAATCACCATTACATTACATTACATTACAACAGTCAACAACAACTCCATCAACCACTTCACCCTCCATCTATATTTTAGCTGTTCAACTTCATCTATCAAAATATATTTCAAAATTCAAATTTGAGTTGTCATTTATATATAGAAAAACAATTTGAAGGGAATTGTCAAAGAAGTAAACATGCGAATATCAACAAAAAAAATTTCGTTTGCTACACAAAAGTCAATTAATCATTTATCATCATTGAGAAAATGAGAAAATGAAAAAACAAGAAAATAACTTGGTGCCAATTGTTGCAAACTAAATTGTCTAAAATCTTCTACTTCACCAGAGAACTAATCTCCCCGGCCGGAAGGCCAAGTCGCCGAACCAACAAACAAACAAACAAGCCTTGCTAACAAATTTACAATCCCACCCCTCAAACCGAGGATTCCATTTTCCCCTAAAATTTTCACCCATGTCAATAAGGAAAAAAATAAGAAAGGAAAAGTCTCTAGAACTAATCCACTACCACCCACCACCACCTGATTTTCCTGCAGTCGGTTGGTTAGTCATCGGAGGCGGCGCTACGCGATGGACATGCGGCGGCGGGCAGGCTTGTAGCAATCCGGGCAGCGGACCAAACCGTTGACGTTGCACGCGGTGCAGCTTCGGAACCCGTGCTTCTCCGAGTAGATCTTGTGGCTGCCGCTGCACTCCTCGCACAGGACGAATCTCAGCCCTCCGCACAGATCGCACTCGTTCGACGCCGCCACGGCGGTCGGCGGAAACAGCCCCGCAATGATCTGCTTCAATTCCCCGCTCTCGTGGAGCTCCCTGATCTCGTCGAGCCCGACGATGCATCTCCCGCCGATAAGAACCACGGGCAGCGCCACCTTACCGGAGGTTCCGAGGATCTCCTGTACCTCGCCTAGGTATTTCCCGTCCATCGACAAATCTCGCTCGTCGATCGGGACTCGGAACCCGCGGAGGATCGATCTGACGGCGTAGCAGTCCTCGAACGTCCGCCGCACGACGCGGAGGCTGGTGAAGTAGAGGACGATGCAGTCCGGCTGCGCCTCCTTCAGCTGAGGCGGCTGCGGGAGGGTGGGAGGGAGGGATTTGCGGAGGTACCGGAGGACGGAGGTGGAGATCCGGACGCGGTGGAAGATTGAAGGCGTTCGGGGAGAGGAAATGGGAGGAGGATCGGAGGAGCCGATGCCGAATTCGCCGCCATGGTCGGGCTCGGAGATGAGGTTTTGGATGTCCTTGAAGGAGGAGCAAGAGAATTTCTTCTTGTGCGCCGGTAGAGAAATCGAATTCGAATTCGAAGACGGCGGCGGAACCCTAGTTGGCGACTTCAACCACTCTGGCCACATGAGAGAGTCTCGCAGAGAATTCCGGAAGGAGGAGGAGAAGGGAATTTTTTTGGGGGAATTTTTTTTTCCTGCTTGGTTAGGTTTTAGAGAGAGAGCTGGTTTCGATATTGGGGGGATTTTTGGGGGACTGTGGGCTTCGGGAGACTGGTTTATAGGGAGAAGGAAAAAATGGGGGGAAATGGTGGGGGCATTTTTTTTTTTTGGGTTTATGTATTAAAGAGAAGTGGGGGATTTAGGTTTTATTATTAACACTAGCTTATGTCATGTCATAATGCCTTTGTTTATTGAGGTCAATCAAAATATGGATGATGTTGCTAAAAGAGTGTTTTTTAGGTGGTAGGAGAAAAATATACATAGCCTATACATAATCTAGCAACATTTAGAAATATTTTTCTAAGAATAATTTGATGGAATAGGGTTTGAGGATTATGACTTCCGATCATGAACGTTTTTTTGTTAATATAAGGTAAACATTTAATAAAATCGAGAACTTCTTTGAAAGGTCATAAATAGATAACACAGAAAAATCGTGAACAATCGGTCATTGGTCTAACTATATCAAAGAAAAATGGTAATCTTTGGTCACTGATTTGACGGTCAATTTGAATCTCACCGAGAATCAATTATTGTGAGAAAAGGGGGGAAAATGTCAAAAGTCTATCTATTATTAATATATCTGGAGTCTGGCGTTAACAAAGGTAAAATATCAATGTTTAACGGTGAATTCAATAGTCAATTTGAATCTAATCAAGAATCAAATACATATCTTTTAAATTTTATGTCAAGATATAACAATCTCGAAAAGGTAAAAAAATCATAAAAGTCGGAATAAATTCTATTAAGAAAATCCAATTAATAGTGAAAAAATAAGAAATAATTAATACTCTTGGTTTATATTTGTATTGGCTACTCCTATGGTGACTTTCATATTATCGTAATTTGGTGAATCATCTATGTGAACCATGTAATTATAATAGAAAAAGAGGATAAAAGAGTAATGACAAGAGTAGTTTGTTGGTCCAAAGTCCAAACCAACAACAGTAAAAGAATTGTTTTGGAAAAGATAGATAATCTGTATAATTCATATATCAATCAACAATCCACGTAATTGTAATCATTATATCCCAAAACAAGGGTAGCTAGGTAGTAGCTATAGCCAGTTAATTGAGCAATTAACGTCCTCAATCTATCTAATAACGTACCAAAGGGACTGCTGGTGAATGGTGATCCATCAAAATCTATAGTTGATGAGTAAGTGTGTGTCCTTCCTTCCTTTTTACCTGCCCACGTTCTCCCAACAAATAATGATAATCTGCAAAATAACAAAAGAAACAAAACCACGATATATTGATGTTGATTATTGGTGTCCTGAAAAAGATGAACAGCCCAACTAATAATGGGAAGCAGCTGCTGATGTTGGACCTTTAATGTGCTTGATGATCTTATCATATCTTTGATCGATTAGAGATGAGAATATCGCCATAAGGCACCTTCTGATCTACTGCTATGCAGCCGCGTGTCGCAAGAACTGCAAAACAGGAAAGCAAAGCATATTGACCCACCATCATTCATGGAAACAGCTCGGAATCTGATCCGACTTCTGATACATTTTCCTGTTAGTTTGAACTGGAATGGGATTCATGATTCATACCACAGGTTTGATAGAACAAGAGAGCTGCTGGTTTACGGTTCATTCCAGTGGCAAGATTGTTCAGTGATTCGTACTCTGGAGCTTCTGGACCTTCAAAATGAGTCTTCAGGTGCCTGCAAATATAAGGGGAAAAGACATTCACACTAGTACCATACACAAGCAAACACAAACAAAGGTTGTTAATGGAGTTAGCCACACATTCGGATGGCTTCAGTCAAGGCGTCAACTGGCTGGGAGGTGGCGAAGGGTTGTTGAGTCTGTGTAGGTCCAGTTTCCAATAGCACTTCTGCAGAAATAACGAAAAAAGAGGAGGGGACGAAAAATGAGTGCCATTACAGCAGCAACAACACAAAGTAGTTAAATGAAACTGCATGTTATGCTCCATTGCACCTTGATCAAGGGCTGGGTCCTTCTGGTGCACCGTCGGGATATCTGGATCTGGAAGCCATGATGTGTCCTCGGGAATGGAACGAAGGCTGCTTCCACTACGTTGGCTGTATCGAGCGAGTGGAAAAAGATACATGGAAGGACTCATTACAAAGAAGGCAAAACTTGGACTTGGTACTTGAGCATAACTTGGATTTTATTTAGCTTACTGTCCAGAGTTGATCTCAGATCGACGTCGCAGAACACTATGTCCAGAACCTGAACTGGATACAGATCTTGCTTCCTTCCCTGTGGAAACTTCCAACGATGTTTATGGATTGAGCATTGACAGAAAAACCAGGATTTAGGTGACAGAGCTTAACTCACCAGGATTTCCAGGAGTTGTGGTGACAACAGCTGGTTCTTTGTTCCTTCCCATTCTGATGTTGTTATTATCAAGGTTGGCTTCAAACTCATCACCAAAAAGCTCGGCTTCCAAGTTCCCTATCAAGACATTCCTGCTGCCAACGACAGGGGCCACTTGCTTCTCGAAGGGGATACCAATTGACTGAGACCCAGCTCCACTCTGATAATCATCAAAGTTCTGCACATTCGAAAAACACTAGTGGATCAGAGAGAGATTCAAAACCAGGGCTCAAGATACTATAAATGTAAACATGAGTTGTCATCAAATGAGTTGCTTTACATATAAATCTTCAAATTGAGCTGCTGCATCTTGTGGGGATGAATTTGAAGCTTCAGGAGGTTGATGTGAGGTTGCCCTTGCTGATTCCAGTAAGTACAGTATGAGTGAGTTTCATAAATGGAGAAGCCAAAGCAAAATCCGAAGAAGTCAGGCAAGTGTGTGCAATAATCTCACCAGATGGAGAGTCATGCGGAGGCTGAGTGCTTTTTGTCCACAGCACGAGTAGAGGAGCTGGATAGTAGATATCTTTGTTTGCATTGATTGATAAATCATCAACGAGTACCATAGGTGGCAGCTCCATCAGACTAGCCACCTTCATCCTCGACATAATACTTTTGTTCACCTCCTATAGGTAAATACCTCAAGTTTAGCAATCTGTTGACTGCCCTGAGGCTAAACCATTGTTTTGATATTAGGGCATACCTTCCTCTTTTTGTCATTCCTTGAGGTGATGTCAGAAGCATTCTGAAGCCATGTCTGGTATAGCTCACAGGGTATGACTGTTTTTTCCATGTCCATCCAATTTGCAGCTTGTCTCCTTCTTTTCCTTCTATTTGCTAGCATCTGTAGTTAACACATCAAATTGTCCAGTTCTTTTTGTTAAGCTTATGTACTGTTACTTTTAGGTGTAATTTGTCCACCAGACAAGTACCCAGGAGCTTGTTCTTGTTTAATTTACCTGTCTGCCTTCATTGTGTTCTTCAGATGGTTGATTGACAAGGCTTTCAGGTTGCTGGTCAGGGATTTCTTTATCCGTGAAAGGAATTCCTGGTTCATTTGCTGACAATCAGAGTGACATTAAGAAAATAGAATGTAAGCAAATGAAGATCACAAGGTGGAAGCATTTGGTTGTTAGCAAGCAGACCTCCTAGATCTTCATCTTGACGAGGTGGTGAGGGTATAACAGTTGTATGGATATCTGTTGGAAGATCTCCTGAAGTCACGATCATCTGCGTGTCCCCTTCTCCGTCAATATCAAATCTGTATCACCATGCACAAAAGACAATAGGAATAGGATGTATAGACAACCAAACTTACGGACTAATAGAAGTCATAAACCGACAATTTTTATATCCATTCAACAAAGGCACTAATGCTAAAAAGAACTTAATCTCCAGAAAAGAAGACTTTAAACTGAAGATCTAAATGGGTTGGGAAATCACCTTTCAAATCGATCATACATATCTGTGTTTACTTGACACGAATCAAAGCGTTCGAATAATTTTATGTTGTCCGGATCAGCTGAAGGGACACATAAAAAATCAGGGAAAAGAAATTAACCCCACTAGTTCATCGGCATTTGCAGGTATGATAAAAACTATAAAGTTAGACTAAGGAAAGCAAAACCTTGATGCTTATTGCCAGTTACATCGTCTTCCACAGTGTCATTGTTAATGTAAGTTTCATCCAAGGTGTCTAGTTGCTGCAAGTATAATTAAGTTTACAGGAAGAACCAAGTTAGGTCTACATTTAGCAGCAGAAAAATCTCGTAGCCTTGGAGCTCGTATCCCACTGATACTAAGAGTATGATGCCCATGTGTATTATTCGAAGATCCTGGTGTTCCCCCTAAATTTCGAACTTATCCATGGCTGTGACACAGAAGTTTTCAACTTGCAGGGTAAAACTAAAAATAGATTTTACAAGAGAAGTTGACCTTGAAGCATACAGAGAAAATAGGAAATCCATCTGGCCATATGTGGAGTAGGAAAAAGTCTAGAGTAGTCAAGACTTAAAGACAGTCAAAACGCTTCCGTAACTACACAAAATCAGAGCACAAACAGTTTCTAGTTCAACCCTTAAATGTACTAGTTAACAGCAGCTAGGTAATTGATGTGAATTTATACGGGCCAGAAACGCCTTCATCTGTCACTAGTACCCAGAACCATCATTCATCACACAGTTTAAAGAAGATCTAACCTACCCCGAGTCGGTCTAGACAGCAATGGAAAAGACGGGAAGATGATTTACCACTGCGAAGTAAGACGTCTGCTGGAAAGGAAGCGTTGTGGCGTTTGAGCTCGAGAAGTTCATAGACTGCTCGATATCAGGGAGTTCCTCGTCCTGAACCTCCGGCAGAGTTACAGCTTCTTTCCTGAAGAGCAATAGAGTGACACTCTTTTCGACTAGCTTTTAATGGCACGGAAAAGAAGGGAAGAGAGCAGATTATCTTAGAAGCGAAACGAACTTGGCCTGTAACTTCCGTTTCGGAAGAAGGGTACGGTCCGTCGCTGGTTTCACTTTCCATGCCTCGTTGATTTCAACCTTAACAGCGTTTCCGGCGGAATCACAGGAAATATTCAGCTCACGGTAAGGGAAGCCAGGAAAAAAACAGTAACGCAAGCGGAACGGATTCAGAGTTCGATTCGGATACCAGCAAACGGGTGACGTCCTCTGTGGGAGAAAAACGAGAAGAAGAGCCACCGGAGATTGTTAACGATAATAGCGAAAATTCAAATTCCAAGTTGCGGAAAAGAAAAAATGAAGTAAGATCATAATTCTGAATCGGGCGACTTCCTCACCGTATAGCAGCTTCACTTTCCGTTCATAAACAATCACCACTCCACCTGAAGAAAACAACCAAAACGTTTCGTCGTCAAGCGAAAAACGAGAAACAAACAAACAGAAACGGAGCGGAGCAGAGCACCCATTAGAATTCCGGAGAGCCGAAGCGCCATTGGAGCTGCAGGATTCAGAATCTCCTCACTGTTGAAACGGAAACAAGCAAACAAAACAGTGCTCAGTATACTTAAACAGGAGGAAGGATGAAGGATGAAATGGCGAGAGGCTAATTGAACCAGATGCTGATTATGTTGATCATGTTGAGCTTCTTCCGATTCATCTTGGCGTGCAGAGTCGCCGCCATCCTTGATCAGAAAAAAGTGAAAACAACGACGCCATTATAATCGGAATCCTCCATTGAAGCAGCGAGCATCACAATATAGCATAAACTGAACGTGGAGAGAATCAATGAGTCGTTACCAAATCTGGCCGAGGGGAGCTTTCCGAGCTAGAAGCTGGTGAGAGTAGAACATCTTCCTTCCGTTTCCTTTGCTGTGGCGGAGCTAGCTTACAGACGGCAGCCGGATGAACGAAGAGAAAATTCTTGTAGCAGAGAATTGGTTAGTTTCTAATAAGCTTCGAATTTGGACATTTGAAGCCCGCTGGAACGGAAAAGATGCTGAGCTATGTACAAATACCTCACCATTGTTCCAGTAGGCCAGGTAGCAAAGAGCATGGAGAGAGGTACGGTGATCCGATAGCGTCACAAGGGAAAGCATAGATGGGATGGGAATGCAGCTGACACGTGTACCCTGATGCGTATAAAATTGGTGACAAATTGGGTACCTCAAGACTCACCTGTGGGTTACGATAGCAAAGCTCGTAGAGGAGAGGATCAGAACTTTTGTGCATTTGTAAGAGGGGCCCACAAGATCAGCTTGCTTCCCACTCTTCCTTCTCCCTCGTTTCTTCATTTTTGTTTCCAGAATCCAGACAAGAAGACGTTCTTTTCTTTCCTCCTGAATGGACAGACGAGGAAAGGTTGAAAAATCCCGACAAGAAATGGATCAAAATAAAAGCCCAAACCGAGTCAAATATGGGCTCCAAGCCCTAATTCAACTGCCATTCTCATCAGTCAAGAGCCCATTATCACCTCCAGCTCAAAGAATATCTGACCAGTGGTTATCTCCGGGAGTTTGCCGTGGTCCAGGAACAGTAAGACCCACCATGTGCTGCTATCCTTTCCTTCACATTTCCGCAGGCAACACCAAATTTTCCCTTCCATTCCGACACTCGCTACTCTTCGATTAGAGAGCTCAACAATGGCGGAACAGCTCGTGGAGATATCAGACACGGAGGTACGAATTGAATTCACACTCAACTCCAAATGCCGAGCCAATGTGACCATGAAATCCCTCTTACCGACAGCTCCAATTGCTTTCAAAGTACAGACCTCTTCCCCACACAAATTCCTGGTCAGCCCCCCAACGGGCCTCATCCCTCCATTATCCTCTACAACCTTCCGAGTCGTCCTCAAGCCCCAAACTCACTACCCTTCCTCTTTCCCTCGCTCTCACTCCGACCGAATCCTCATTAAGACGGCGCCGTACCATTCCGACTCGGCTGCAGATTCAGAGTTCCTCAGCCAGTGGTTCTCGTCTTTGCCTTCCACCGTCGATTTCAAGCTCAGGGTTGCCTTTGTGGGGCCCTCGCTTCTCCGCCACGCCGTCGGGTGCGGCGACGTGGACTCCGCGAGGAACATTATCAAGAGGCAGAGGTCTGTTCTGTCCGAGTTGTCTCGAGGGGAAGCTGAGTCGCTGCTCCGAGTTGCAGCGGAGCTGGTTAACCCGGACAATATGGTGAATCTGCTGCTCGAATCCGGGTTGAAAGTCGAGCCGGTTGAGGCAGATGCCGATTCGGAGTGGAAATCCAAGGGATGGAACGAGTTACACGTGGTTGCGGCTTCGGATCGGATGCAGGAGGTGTCGGATTTGGTGAAGAGGGTTTCCGACGTTGATCACAGAGACAAAGAGGGAAGGACGCCGTTGTTTATAGCGGCGGCGAATGGGAACAGAAGAATGGTGGAGACGCTAATTGAATTCGGCGCCGACCCGACCGCGGCCGACTATTGCGGCCGCTCGGCCGTCGATGTAGCCCGCGACAACGGACATGTAAGAGTAGAGACGATTAGAAAAATCCAATAGCTGCCGGGGGAAAAAAAATTAGTTACGTCTAACGATACCTGGAGTCGCTTATGAACAGGAGGAGGTCTTGAAGGCTCTGGAGCGCGGCGAGATGGTTTTGACGGCGGCGCGGCGGGGGGAATTCCAACTCCTGGAGTCGCTACTGCGGAGAGGCGCGGCCGTGAACTATCGCGATCAGTACGGTCTCACAGCGTTGCACGCGGCGGCCATCAAAGGGCTCGAGAAGACGGTGGCGCTACTCCTGAAATTCGAGGCGTACATTGAGTCCCGGGATAACGACGGCCACACGCCGCTGCATTTGGCTGCGGTTGCCGGCGGAGTTGAGACGGTGGAGGCATTGGTCAAGCGTGGAGCCGACGTTAACGCCGTGAGCAACGGAGGCTCCACTCCGCTGAGCATTGCGAGGGCTCTTCTACACGATGACGTGGTGCAGGCTCTTAAAAAAAAGCCCGACATGTAATAAAATTGGGCCTAGCGTAGCCCAAGCCCACTACTCTTTTTATATGCCAGGAGAAGATCGGTACTCTCTCAAGCCTCCCACATCTTCTCACAAAATGCAATCATTTCTCTTCCTCGCTCTTCTGCTTCTGCTCTGTCAACTCACTGAGTCGTCGACCTCGCCGGACCGATTCCTGAAGCCGTCGTCACCTCCGTCCATTTCCAAACCATCTCGCAAACTGCAAGAGTACATTGAGCTAGCAAATCCTCTTTCATCCGATAAACTGAACCCTCCTTCGCGACCATGTACGCTCCACGTCATCAAGCACTCCTTCGGCAACACAATGGGCAAGCCACCGTTCACCACCGCCTACAATCCGCCGGTAAATTGCCCGTCACCGTGGTCTCACGTGGTGCTCGAGTTCCGCGCCACCTCCCGCGGGGACCAGTATGACCGGATCTCCGGCTTGTGGCTTGGCGGTGCGGAGATCCTCCGGACCAGCACGGCGGAGCCGACGAGAGAGGGAATCTTCTGGAAGGTCCGGAAGGATATCACGAAGTATGATTCCCTTCTGCAGAAGAAGAATCTCAGGCTCACAATGATGCTCGAGAACATCGTTAACGACGTGTACACCGGCGTCTACCGTGTTGATGTGTTTTTCTTCTTCTACAGGGCGGAGGCCGTTAGGGCTCATTTCAGAACCGGTGAAATTAGGTTTCTAAAAGACGAGGGTAGGTTGGAAACTGAGATGGCAAACGAATCCCCGGCTGATTTGATAGTTCCGATTTCCTCCTCCGACGGCTACAAGAAAGGGTTCTGGTTTGTGATTAACAGCGAATCTGATGTTCACTTCAAGGAAGTCCGATTCCCTCTCAATACGCGGAAGGCGGTGCTGGAATTGTACGTCTCATTTCACGGCAACGACGAGTTCTGGTACTCGAACCCGCCGAATTCCTACATTCGAGTCAATAATCTTACCACCGAGCGAGGCAATGGAGCTTACAGGGAAGTATTCGTCACTCTCGACGGGAGGGTAGTGGGATCGGAGATTCCCTTCCCTGTGGTCTTCACCGGCGGTATTAACCCTTTGTTCTGGAATCCGGTTGTGGCTATCGGCGCTTTCGATCTCCCATCATACGATTTCGATTTGTCCCCGGTGCTGGGCCTCGTTCTCGACGGGAAACCCCACACCATCGGCGTCGGGGTCAGCGACGGGATCTCGTTTTGGCTCGTTGACGCGAATCTGCACATATGGCTCGACGGCGGGTCCTCGAAAGTGATAGCTAAGTCAACGGTCTATGACAATCCGGCTTCGTCTATCACCAGGGAGGAGGAATTCCAAATGCTTGATGGAGAATTCCATATCAAAGCTAAAAGAGGAACCCTTCTGGTTGGATGGGTGAAATGGAGCGGCGGCAATTATACAACAGCCGTCTCTCAAGAATTCAAGTTCCACAATATTATGAGCTTCGAAGGGAACGGCACTGTGAAGACGGTGAACCAGAGGGTCAAGGTGAAGAAAGAAGTTAAGGTAACAAATGAATTGGGAAGCTGCCCGGTTTGCCACGTGAAGATCAAACGAAGATATCCCATGAAAATGATCTCTGCAACTCTGCCCGGATCCAAGCCGGATACTTATCTTGCGATCACGAATGTTTCCCACGCTTTCTTGGAGAGGCACGATGATGGCGGAGGCGAGACGAATGTGTACAATAAGCAGGTGTCTGATGGTTGGATGGAGGTGAAGGATCATGATGTTCTCAGTGGTGGTTCGGTGACTAACCAGAAGCTGGATTGCAGAGGTGGTGAGTTTGGTGGTTGCTTCATTTGGAAGGTTTCGGCTGTTGATGGCAAGCTTGTGAAGAACGACACCTCCTCTGTGTGTACCTCACTGTATGTAAATTGAGGCTGTTGTTGAAGCTTCAATGATAATGTGGCCAAATTGCAGCATTCATTTCGTCACAGTACGATGATGTTGAGGCACGAATTGGAAGTATATCATAGAGAAGGTTTGGTAGCAACTATATTATTTCTAGTATCGCAAAATCAGGAATTCTACAACAGAGTTGGTTTACATTTACAGGACATGAGCATTCGTGGTGAACCGTCCTCTGATCGTTGTTGCTATGACGTATAGTGCATGCTTTCTTCTTTTCTAACTGTGGTATTTCTACACTTGCAGAACTGGTATTCGTAGACGAAAGAATAAAGAAATGTATTGCAGATATAGACGTCTTAGCTACGAAGATCCTCATCTCTCCTATTACTTTACCACCGATTGCCAGAACTTGAGCTTGCCTAGACTTGATTGATTCTATAGTGCTGCTGTAATTGGCTTCAACTGGTGGGACGCCAGAGATCTTTCTGGGCAACCAAGTACTGAGCTTGATGGATTTTGACCGACCAATGTAGCGACTTCAATATTGCAGTGAGCTTGTTGATCATTTCTATGGTGTCAAAGACCAGAAGATACCCACCAGGTCTCACTATCCGGTCAATCTCTACCCCGACATCTATCAGGTCACATCTGAAGATTGCAAAGAGAAATCTCAGACCTAAAATATCACTAAGAAAGCAACAAGAATTTGGTTCTGATTAAGCCGTGGGAGTATAGCTTTACCTTTCCGAGAGTCTCTTGAAGAGGAAGCTGGAATGGAGAAGGTCATAAGTTCGGGGATAGGTGTTGAATGACTCGCACCAATCGTGGTAAACTCCAATCAACCCTCTGTCATAGATGATGTTGAGAGTGTCTTCCTCGTGAACCGGAACAACATTCATCACCCAATACGGAAGATCGATCAGTGCTGCAGCAAACCTGTCCAAGCATATTTTGATTGTGTAAGTCAATGGGTACTTATGCAAGTGGCAGATAGGTCGGGGTTCATGGGTTTACATGGCATGTTTCTTACTACTTACCCTCCATAGCCGGCATTCATATCCATGATATTACGAACGCTAGGCCAGCTGATGTTGAGTTTCATGAGATAAGTATCGGATACAAGAGCGGTCCAACGTCTGTTATCTGCGTTGTACTGCTCTACAACTCCAAGTTCCGATGGCATGGAAACAGGGAGACGGCTGAGCCTGTAAGGCCATGTTACTGGCCACTTAATGACTTTGCCTTCTTTGTCTAGTGGCAGCCTTGAAATGCAGCCTCGCAGAGGTGTGTACCTAACGAAGCCAGCCATAGAACAATTAGAAATCACCAATCATTTTGTTTAAATATTTGAGTTCTTTTTGGAGGTTCTTTCTCTCTTTTACCATGAAACGCTGTGCTGATCGTTCTGATCACAGAGAGGAGGATTATTCTGTGGGCGTTTCTCGTAGCAAGAAGGATTCTCTGGTTTCTGATAGATTACCATTCCTATTCCTGTTGAGTCCATTGTCTTGGCCACAACTTTCCAGCACATAGATTCAGTTAAAGCCACCATTGCTGCAATATAGACAGAGACCGGATGAGAAAAGTAGCCTCAAAGCGATTGGTACCGTCAGTGATATTTGTAATAGCATGTAATCAACGAACATATAGTTCGTATTAACGCCTTTTGAATTTTGATTCATTTCAAACCAAATGCATTCAAACCGACTCAAGCATGAATCTGACCTTTCCAAACTTTGGTGTCTCTTTGATTGTCCCGGTACACAGGCGTGGCTGACCATACAAAGAAACCTCCAGGCCTCAAAACCCTGTTGAGCTCCAGAAGCGGCTTCCCACCTGCAAACCTGATGATTGAATTACTTGCTCGAGAAAACCAGAAAGGAAAACAGAGGAGAAAAGGTCAAGATCAACAATACCATCAGCATCCCAGTGAACCCTGCAACGAGCGCAATGAATCAGGTCGAAAGCATTATCAGGAAACACGAGCTGCTGCGTCCCGATCACTGAAAGGATCGCAGGAATCCCTCTCTCGAGAGCGAATTGAATCTGTGCTTCGTGCTCATCCTTGGGCGCCATCGACATCGTAAGGACTTGCTTGTCCAGCAAGTATCCACCGAAGCTAGCCACACCACAACCCACGTCCAGAGCCACCCTGATCTGTCTTCCCCAGTGGATAATTGGCACCGTCTGATATACAATATCCCATAACAACATCACCACCACAACTTCAACAACACATTGGAAGTTTCCATATTGGACCACACTCCATTTTTGTTACAATATAACTAACTCTACCTTCTGAATGAAGCTTGCGTAGTTGGAGACGCCATCTTTGAACTGTGTCCCACCTCCAGGGAATACGAAGTGATCCCCTTCCTTGCGCACCCAGTTCTGCTCCTTTTTGTACTCCACCAGCTTAGGATGTGGGACATTGTCGTACCATATCTACGAACACAGAATTAAATGAAGTATATCAGACGCCATACCAATTCTGGAATCAACTTCAGTTAGAAGATCTCAATCTCAAAACTATTTTTACTACTAGTAACTTCTCGTCGAAATTAAGATAAACTCCGATCATCATTCCCATTACCTCGACCATGGTTAGTTCATCAATTAGCTCGGCCTAAATTAGATCCGTAAAGCAGATTTCTAAATTAGATCAGTGGAAGAAGAATGAATCGATTTACCATGTCTCTGCTTTTAGGCCAAGGCAGAGGGCGCTTGTATCCATTGGGGAGAGGGACCAAGCACCTGAGGGGCGCCGGTTTAGGGCAGTGTCTCTCCCTGTGCTCCATGTGCCTTCTGGACTGGAGCTGCTTGATGGCCTCAGTATTATCCAAACAGGGGATGAAATCAACCGCCATGACTCCCTCGCAGGGCCGCCACGCAATGTCGAGGGCCGGCGGGGTGGGGAAGTTGGACTTCCTGGCCTTGAGAGCCGGGGAGTCCTTGCCGGGAGGGACGGGGGCGTCGTTGGCATCGGAATCGGTGGAGCCGCCGCCGGGATCGGCGGAGACGTCGGAGCGATCGGAGAGGGAGAAGTAGTAAGGGAGGTCGACGGTCTTGCCGCTGGAGAGGAAGAAGAAGGTGATGGAGACGAGGAAGACGAAGAGGAAGAGGAACAAGGCCAATCCGAAGGTCCGCTCCTTCATCAATCTGGCCAGCGACATCGCGGCGGGCCGGCGGCGACGGCGGTGCTGTGGGATTGGAGGCGAAAGCGGAGAGAGGTGGAAGGGATAAGTGAAGCGGAGGAAGTGAGATTGAATGAATGAATGAATGAATGATTGATTGAGATGGGAGTGTGACTCCGTCTCTGAGGTTGAAGAGAGAGAAGGAAGAGAAAGGTGGAGCTAAAAAGGAGGAGAAGAAACAGGGGCGTTGTTTTTCTTCTTCTCCTTCTTCTTCTTCTTTTCCCGCAAATCAAGTTATTGGTGTATTTACAAAACAGAGTTAGTCGGTAAAAAAAAATTGTAGGATAACTAGTATTATCAAGAAATAAGACTATACATTTTACCAAAAAGAAAAAAGAAACAAGACTATACAAAAGTGTCTCGTGATTGATAATAATCAAGATGAACATCGAATTTTAGAAAATTAGGGTACAGAAAAATGACTTTTCAGATCACCTTATTACGATTACGACCGACAATGCAAACATTAAAATGTTGAAACACTTAAATTTCTTCTAAAATCACACCACCATTTGTATCCCGCACCATCTTTTCTGCCACCTTGTCCAAGATCACCTTAGCATCTCCTGCAAACACCACATGCTGAAATCTGAAAACTCTTGTATTGCAATCTGACAAAGGTTTTATTGAGTAAAGAGAGGAGTACATATAGCATTCCCTGCTGACCACGACTCTCTAACAACGTTCTATTAACCTGAAATCACGCTAACACTTCTAACTGAACAACTAATGAGCTGAAAGTGCTCAACGAATCTAACCCACTACGTTTGGACTGAAAAGCAACAAAAACACAAAGTAAATGACAGACTCAGCAATGCTTATACAGTGCAGCACTGCTTATTTCGAACTTAACCAGACGACGCCGTATTCTCTAGCAGCAAGCCACTTTCAAACTTGGCTCCTTTCTTCAATCCTGATGCAAAGCAGAATCCAAATGCAGCAAGAGTTTCCTTCTCCAGTTCAATCTTCAACATCCTCCCCTGAACTGGAGTCTTCCTTCAACTCACTTTCCTGCTTCAGTAAACACATCAGCAGCACACATGCCTAGCTTGCTCCTTAACAGCTCGAACGTCTCCTGTTTCAGAGGCTTAGTCATGATGTCTGCTATTTGGTCATGTGTCCCACAGTGCTCCAATTCAACCACTCCCTCCTTCGCCAGCTCTCTTAGAAAATGGAATCGGACATCTATATGTTTGCTTCGTCCGTGCAGTACAGGATTCTTGGATAATTTGATGGTAGAACTATTATCACACATTATCCTGGTACTGCCTTTCACACAGCTGCTCCAGTTTATTTCCTCCAAGATCCTTCTCATCCACACACACTGAGTAGCACAGAAGGCTGCTGCAACGAACTCTGCTTCTGTGGTGGAGAGAGTGACGACAGGTTGCTTCTTTGATGCCCAAGAGACGACTCCACCAGCTAGGAAGAAAGCATAGCCACTCGTGCTTTTCCTATCGTCAACATCCCCTGCATAGTCACTATCGGTGTACCCAAGAAGGCCATCTTCTTCATTCATTCGTTTGTACCAGATACCATGGTTCACAGTACCTTTCAGGTACCTCAGAACCCTCTTGGCTGCCAATAGATGCTGTCGAGTTGGTGACTCCATGTACCTGCTAAGCAAACATACAGCAAACATTATGTCCGGCCTTGTGGCTGTTGCATATAGTAAGCTTCCTATAAGTTGCTTATATCCAGTGGAGTCCACTTGAATTCCATCTCCTGCCTTAGACAGCTTTAGACCAGGTGCAGTAGGATTTCTCACAAAATTGCAGTCAGCCAGCTGAAACTTTTCCAGGAGATCTTTAATGTATTTCTGCTGGCAAATGAAAATGCCAGCATCATTCTGCAGCACTTCTACTCCTAGGAAGTACCTCATCTTCCCTAGGTCTGACATTTCGAACTTAGCTTCCATAGACCTTTTGAACTGTTCAATCATTTCAGTGCTGTTACTCGTGTACAGCAGGTCATCCACATACAAGCTTACAATCAGAAAGCTTCCTTCTGTCTTCTTGACGAACAATGTGTGTTCATAGGGGCACCTTTCAAAGCCTGATTCCAGAAAGTAGGCTTCAATCTTGCTGTACCAGGCCCTAGGGGCTTGCTTCAAGCCATACAGGGCTTTTTGAAGTCTATAAACTTTCCTTTCCTCCCCAGCAACCACAAAGCCAGGTGGTTGCTCAATATAGACTTCCTCAGATAGCTCCCCATGCAAGAATGCACTTTTTACATCCAATTGATAGACAGGAAGGCCATGTGAGGCAGCAAATGCTAGGATAGTTTGAATTGTATCCCAACGAGCCACTGGTGCAAATACTTCAGTGTAGTCAATCCCTAGTTGTTGAGAATAACCCTTTGCCACCAGCCTTGCCTTGTGTTTATCAATAGAGCCATCTTCCCTTAGCTTGGTTCTGTAAACCCACTTAATGCCAATTGGAATAACTCCTGGAGGGAGGTCAACTAGCACCCAGGTTTTGTTCTTGACAATGGCTGCAAACTCAAGATTCATAGCTGCTCTCCATCTTGGATCTGCAGCAGCTTGTTCATATGTTTGGGGATCATCAGAGAGAACAACTAGAGCTAGCAACTCAGAATCTGCAAAATCGCAATCATAGTCAGCAAGATATCTTGGTGGCTTCCTTACCCTGGAACCACTGGGGAGTCCCAACACATCAGTTTGGAGGTCATCATCTTGATCATCATCCTCATTTGTTGCATTTGCAGCCAATGAAGTTTTTGGACTGCTGGGTTGTTCTTCTGCTGAACCAACTGACTCAACAGTTTCCACTTCTCCAGCTTCAGCGTCTGAATCCTCCCATGCATCATCACTTCCTTCCCAGATTAGTTGAGTTAGGACAGGCTGAATCTCATCATTCCAGCTCCAGCCCTGATTTTCATCAAATACAACATCCCTACTCACCACAATTTTCTTAGTGATGGGATTGTATAATCTAAAAGCTTTTGACTCAGTAGATATCCCAAAGAAATGACACTGAGTACTCTTGGGATCCAATTTCTTCCTTTTTTCATCTGGGACATGCACATAGGCTAAGCAACCAAAAGTTCTAAAATGAGAAACAGATGGAGGACTACCAGTCCACAGTTCTTGAGGTGTCCTCCCCTGATTTGCAGCTGTTGGACTCCTATTGAGGACATGAGTGGCCCAATTTACTGCTTCTGGCCAGAAATGAGAGGGAACTCTGGTGTCTTGCAGCATGCACCTTACCATGTTCATGATTGTCCTGTTCTTTCTCTCAGCCACTCCATTCTGTTGTGGAGTGAGAGCTGCAGTAAGTTGTCTCTGTATTCCTGCCTCATCACATAATTCTTTGAATTCATTTAACATGAATTCTCCCCCTCTGTCAGTTCTGAGTCCCACAATAGGTAATCCTGTATCTTTCTCTATCTGTGCTTTAAACTTCTTAAAGAAGCTCAAAGTCTCTGACTTGGCAGACAGGAAATAAACCCATAATTTTCGACTAAAATCATCTGTTAAGGTGAATATATACCTCTTGCCTCCTGCTGAAACAGGTGTGATTGGACCACAGAGGTCTGCATGAAGCAGTTGCAGCCTTTGAGATGCCCTCCACTGACTCTTCTTTGGAAATGGCAGTCTATGTTGCTTTCCAGTTAAGCAAGTAGAGCATACCTCGATCTCCCCTTGTAGTGACTCTGGTAGCCCTTGAACCAGGTTTTTCTTTATTAACATCTGCAAACTTTGCACATTAAGATGTCCAAATCTCCTGTGCCACAGTTTTAGCATTGATTCTGTGGACTTTTCAGTCTGCAGACACTGAGTAGTCAGGCTATGATTCTCAGTTCCTACTTCAGCATGTATCACAAACATTCGATTAGACTTCATTTCAGTTTGAACTAGCAAACCTCGTTCTTCATGAAAGATTTTACAGCAACCATTCTTGATTAAGAAAGCTAATCCCTTTTCCTGCCATTGTCCCACACTCAAGAGGTTTGATTTCAGACTGGGGACATACAATACCTCTTGAATGATCACAGGAAGGTTGTTGATGAGCAGCCTCACTGATCCCTTTCCAGCTACCTCCAGCCTGGTGTTGTTGCCTAGTCTAACATTGCAGCTGAAGTCATTGTTCATATCCACAAACCATTTCTTGTCTCCACTCATATGGTTGCTGCAACCTGAGTCCAGGAACCACCAGTCTTCGTTTTTCTCAGTATGTGGTTCCTCCATTAAGGCCATGAGACCTTCAGTGTTCTTCATGTTACTCTTTTCCTCAACAATGGCCATTAACAACATGTCATCCTGCAGATCTCCCATGGTTTTATCCTGTACACAACTAGAATAGTGAGCTTGATACGAGTTAGACCATTCTGGACACTCATTCCTATAGTGTCCCAGTTTGTGACACTTGTAACATTCCACAGTGTCCTTGCTCCAGCCTCGACCTCCACGCCCTCGTCCTCTTCCTTGATAAGACCCTCTTCCTGATCCTCTTCCTCTCCCAGCAAAATCATGAGTAGCTCTGAGAGCTTGATCATCTTCTGAGGATTGCCTCCTTGTGAACTTCTGCTCATGGACTGTCAGAGAACTTTGAAGAGCATCAACAGTCAAAAGTTCAATGTCTTGTGACTCCTCTATAGAGCAGACCACGTAATTGAACCTCTCTGTCAGTGTCCTCAGAACTTTCTCCACAATCTTCCCATCTGACATCTCCTCCCCATAGTTCCTCATGTCATTTGCTACAGTCATCACCCTGCCAAAGTAAGCAGCAACAGTCTCTCCTTCTTTCATCTCCAGCACCTCAAATGTTCTTCGAAGAGCCTGCAATTGAGCTTTTTGGACTCTTGCAGATCCTTGGTATTTCAGTTTCATAGAATCCCACAGCTCTTTGGAGGTGGATTTCTTGGTGATGGTTTTCAGTATAGTCTTATCAATAGAATTGAACAGATAATTTTTAGCTTTGAGATCTTTCAGCCTTAACTCACTCAAGATCTTGGAGTCTGCAGCTGACAACTCTTCCCTTGCATCAGGCTCCTTGAATCCATCTTCCACCACTGTCCAGTACTCTTTAGAACGCAGAAGATTTTCCATCAATAGGCTCCAATGATCGAAGTCTCCATCAAATCTGGGAAGACCAACCTGACCAAAGCTGCCTGAATCACTCATCTTTCTTTCAGAAATCTCTCACCCTGATTCTGACGTTTCTCACAATACAACTCGTGTTTCCCACCCCCAACTCTCAGTTTGACAACTGATTATCACTCACAACACTCACAGAAAATTGCTTGACAGCTTGTTGGTTACAGCTTGCAGAGCTCTGATACCAAATGAAAACTC